TTGGTATAATTTGCCCTCTCACGTATATCTTGTACAAATCCATTTAGACTTTGGTGTGTCTCTGGAACTTCAGTGTCTTGTCTTACTTTGGGTATGATAGGCAAGCACTCTACCACCGAATCGTCTTTTTAAGATAATTATATTATCAGATAAATGCATATAGTTGTATTCTTCATCTTATTTTACTTACTGTCCTAGTCTCTTCTTCTGTTGCTGTGATAAAATAGCATAACAGGAGTAAACTATGGAGAAAGGGTTTATTTGACTCATAGTTCCAAGTCACAATCCATCAAGAAGCAGAGAGGGATGACTGCCTGCTACTGCTCAGTTTCCTTTCTCTACTTTTGCAGTCTAGGGCCCTAGTCAGGGAATGGTGCCACCCACAGTGAGTGGGGAGTTTGTCTAAATAAAGAGTACCCTCCCCAAGACATTCTAGATTCTGTCAAATTGACAACACTAATTTTCTTTTTCTTTTTCTTTTTTTTTTTTTTATGGTGGTGAGGATCCTGCTCAGGGCCCTGTACATGGTAAGCAAGTGCTGCCCATAGAGAGAGTTCCATCACAGTTCCTGGTCATTCTGTCATAATATTTTTCAAGTCATTGTTCATTATATTCCTTCCTAAGAATTGGACAGAGGCTGGGTGGAGTGGTGCACACCTTTAATCCCAGCACTGACAGAGGCAGGTTGATCTCTCTGAATTCCAGGCCAACCAGGGCTACATAAAGAGACACTGTCTCAAAAACAGAACAAATAAACAAAAGAACTAGATAGAGGTAAGGCGAGGAAGTTTCTGCTCCTTGTACAAAATATTTTTTTGTAGGTATCAATTTGTTTTGCTCATTATTATTATTATTATTATTATTATTATTATTATTATTATTATTATTATACAGGGTCTCCCTATGTAGCTCTGGCTTGCCTGGAGTCACTCTATAGATAGGCCAAGCTATCTTCTAACTCACAGAGATCTGCCAGCTTCTGTCTCTTGGATGTCATTTTGCTTTTTATCTTAGCTAAAAGACTTAGAAAGGACCATTAAATCAATTTTTCATTGCTTATGTAAAGCATTATATCATTGAAGATGGTGATACTGGGATTGAAAACATACCTTCCTTGGCTTATATTACTTTCCTAATTTTCTAGAAGAGTCTAGGCATTTCCCCACAAGTCAACTCAGATTGAGAAAAGAACCATTACATTTTCTAACAGTGTACTCATGGTTTTCAGCATTCATACTTCCTGTATACAGAATCAGAGCTGTGCAGTTTGTTAGTTGTTTGGATATATGCAGTGGGCATTTTCATTAAACTGACCTGTTTTGGATTGGGGATGACTATTAAAGTGTTGGTAATTAAACATTAATCCTGACCACTCCATTATTAGAATACATGCGAGGACCTAGAGTGTGTAGATACTGCTCTTAATTTCTAGATACAGCTCATGTTGGCAGCTTTATCCTCAGCAAGAAGCCTCCTCAGTGCGTGCTGAATTAATGACCTTGAGTTCTTGTTGTGCTTATGAACTTCTCAAAGGCCATGTGGTTATGAATCTGGGGATTTCATTTAGAACAATAAAAACTCACACTTCATTATCCATTATGTGTCAGAAACGATGCATTCTACTAACGGTTTCTTGTTTAGTCCTCCATTACTGGCAAGGGTGTGATACCTTTTTAGTTGGCTGGGTACCTGATGATGCTTAAAGAGAGGTTAAATAAATGCTCCCCTACCTTACAAAAACAATTTATTCTGTGTCTGTATTTTTATCCACTTTTAAAAGTAATTTATCCAATAAGTATGCATATGGTTCTAAAGTAGTTTTTTTTTTTTTTAATTTCCAAAATGAGTTGGGTTTTTGTTTGTTTGCTTGGTTTTCCCCTCTTTATGGTGTAGTTTTTTCTTCTTTCAAGCAGGAGTTTGAATCCATAGTAGTCTCTTGATTCAAGATCCTGAGTGTGCTGGGGTTATGTTCTGTTTCATATGCTGTTGTGCCAAGTGCTTTGGAGGATAAGAAATGAGAGAAAATCTGGATGTCATTCCATGCCTTTATTCCTGGCACTTGGGAGGCAGACAGCAGAGGCAGGAGGATCTCTGTGACTTGGAGGCCAGCCAGGTCTATACAGTGACACTCTGCCTAAAAACAAACAATTAACTGTAAAGTAAATAAAACTGGCCTGGAAGACCCTTTTAAAAAATAAGGGTGGAGGAAACCAATGGGATTATTTTAGAGGACTCTGCCTTTCTTTAGGGAGGCTGTAAGCTTGCCCTATCCAGCAGTGTAAAGTGAGATAAAATTGTAGTAGAAGTATAAGGTGGTCATTTGTCTTACCGCCACTGTGTCTTGTGTCTGGTTGTGACATTTGACTCTTTGGAGAGGGCTGTATGCCATTGCACTTGGACACAGCTGTTGCTTCAGATCCATTGTATGCATCTGTTGTGTGGTAATAAACCGCACGATTTGCTTTTATTTTAGGCTATTTGTGTATGATGGCTTTTTTTTTTTCCTTTTATAGAACTGTATCCCTTGGTGGAGGATTAAGTTTGAGTTTGACTACATTATTTAATTGTAACAAATGCTTTGTTTAATATTTCTAAGCCAAAGTTCCACGAAGAGAGAGAGGAACGTTTGTCTTGTTTAGAAGTAGGACCCTGTAAGGGGTGAGACATGTTAAGGAGTTTTAAGGTAGCTAAGGATTTCTTTAACAAATTATCTCACATCTTAGTTTTTTAAAAAATTATTTGTGTGTGTGAGAGAAAGAGGGGTGGGGAGTGTATGGAGGGACTGTGGTAGCGGAGAGTTGTGTATGTGTTAGTGCAGGTAATTGCAGAAGCCAGAAGAGGGCTTCAGATCCCATTCCAAGCTGGAGTTGTGAGCAGCCTGACTCAGGTACTGAGAACTAAATTTGGGTCCTCTATAAGAGCAGAAAGTGCTCTTAACTTGGTAGTTAAGAAGCCATCTCTTCAGTCCTCATTTTTCTTGATTTTTAGTAATAAATGCTTAATTGTGGAAATAATTGGAATATGAAGATTTTAACTCATTATGGAAACTTTGTAATGTGAAATAGGAAAATAAAATTACCCATAATTGTACCTTCTAGGAATGATCACTGTAACTGAGTCATGGAGTTATTCTTTCTCTTTTATTTTTTCTTACCTTGTAGCATGAAGAGATGCTTGCCTATATTTGTCTTCTCATCACTTTAAGTATTATTCAGGGGTTCAGTCTGGTGTCATCATGGGTGGGGTGGGAGAGAACATTTGAAGAAGTTAGAGAAATTAGACTTTGCTGGCTTTGAAGATGGCTAAGAAATGCATGTGCTGTACAGAAGCTAGGAGAAGGCAGAGGGAAAGGCAGATAAACACTTTACTATAGATCCTCCAGAAAGGAGAAAAGCCCTACTTGATAACCTGGCTTTATGATCCAATTAGATTCATTTGACATTTCCAATCTACAGAACTATATGATGACTTGTTTTAAACTGTTTCTTATTCTGTTACCAAAGCAGCAGACAATGAATATATTCCATTATACCTTTAATTCTTGGATTGTCCTCTTGATCTAGTTAGTTCTTACCGGTGTGCTCATGCTCTCTGTGTGCCACAGATCTTCTCTCCTGTACCTTCTTGGATTTTAAGTTCCTCAGGGTCAGGGACTGTATATTTTCATCTGTCTTTAATAGTGCCAGAATATATGAATTAATGGATTATATGATGTTTCTGCCATTGTAAATAGTCTTTTTGATAGTCTTTGCTACCTTCGAAATTATTTAGATTTCTTTGAGTTACTATTTCACTTTTAAAATTTTAAAATTGTGTGTGTCCTTCCTGTTAATAACTTTATTTTTATCTGTTCCTGTCTTTTAAACTCTAATCATTATTTCCCTGCTAATGCTTTGTTGTTTCAAATCTATCATTTACACATTGACAAATTTAGAGTGACATTTTGAGTCCCTATGGAGAATAATTTGTGTAGTAAACCTAAGGTGCTAGGAGCTTTTAATTTCTTTAGCACTTCTCCTTTACTATAAAGAAACTGAATAAAAACTTTAGTTTGGTAATTTCCAATAAATGAAGTACTTATTTTTGTTGTTGTTAAGCTGCTACATTCCAGTAAATCCACTATAAATACTATATTTACTTACTGAGTCTTAGTTTACTAACTGAACACTCTCACCCCAATAACTACTCACTTTTAACCCTTTTACCATTGTTCCTGTGTTATCCCTTCCTTGAAAGTCCCAGTCTCCCATGGTCTCTTATTTTTTTCATGTCCTCTATGAGTATTCCAAATGAAACAAACATATCTGAAGATTCAAAGCTAACATCCATAAATTGGAGGAAACATGGGCATTTTTCTTTCTGGGTTGCCTTAGAACGAATGCTTCTAATTCCATCCATTTACTTGCATATTTAATTCTTTTTTTTTTTTTTGGCACCAGAAATTTTACTTAATCTACCTTCCTTTGTTAACATTCTAGACACTATGAACCAAATTAGTCTTTTTGTGACCCAGGCTTGTGATAGGAACCATCAATTACAAAACAGTGACAGACCTTAGCCTATTTGTTTTTTCTGGTCCCTTTCAATCTCTAGCTGTCACTTTTCTTGGTTATCTCTTAATCTATTCTAACCCTGTGAAATAGGGATCAAAAGTGCCAACCTCAGTATTCTGAGGTTTAAGAGATAGCCCAATGGTAAATAAGCTCTGAGGAAGGCCCCCTCCAACTCCAGTGTCTCTTGTCCTGTCCCGGGCTGAGAAAGCAAACACACGGATCTGATAAAGACTAAATGAGGGTCTGAATGGTAAAGTGCATGGGCTTGTGACCACCACTAGCCACATCCAGCCTTAGGACTTCCAAGACTCCAAAGCTTGTGTCCCCCGTGGATCTCTCCCAGGTACCTCTATCTTGACTGGAGACTCTCGGTTCCCCCTCACTACACCTAGAACAGTATGAAGGACACAACAGAGACCAAAGACAGAGTAACCAGCTCCAGCGGGACTAACACTGGTGAATCAATTGCAAAGTTGGTGTTCTTGGGAAAGAGAGGTAAAGCCTGGAGTAAGGACGGCAGCTGGAAGGTGAAGGGCAGTCCTGTCTCTCAGTAGCGGTAGTGATCAGGCTACCCAGATACTGGGCCTGCTTCTCAGTCAGCTTGGTCAGCTTCACATTCATCTTGTCCAGGTGGGCTTCAGCCACTTCCTCATCCAGCTTTTAGGCAAGAAGTGAACCCCAGTGGGGTATTTATCATGGCACAACTCAATCTGTGCCATGACCTGGTTTGTGAAGAAGTTGCTCATCACGAAGCTGGGATGGCCCATGGTACAACCCTGGTTGACCAGCTGGCCTTCAGCCAGCAGGATGATGCAGCGCCCATTCTTCAGCCAGTAGCAGTCCACCTGGGGCTTGATGTTCACCTTCTCCACAGCATTCTCATTGAGCCACTTCGCATCAATCTCCACGTCGACGTGTCCAGTGTTAGGCACAATGGCATCCTTCATCTGTTCAAAGTGCTGGCCAAGAATGATATCAACACAGCCTGTGGTGGTGACAAAGATATTGCCCTCCTTATAGTCCTCATCCATGGTGGTCACCTCATAGCCCTCCATGGCAGCTTGTAGTGCATTGATGGGGTCAATGTCAGTGATGATGACTCGGGCCCCAAAACCTCTCAGGGCCTGGGCACAGCCCTTGCCCACGTCACCATAGCCTGTCAACACTGCCACCTTGCCCGCAATCATCACATCTGTGGCCCGTTTGATGCCATCTATGAGGGACTCCTGGCAGCCATAGAGGTTGACAAACTTGCTCTTGGTGACAGAATTGTTGACGTTGATGGCAGGCACCTTCAGTATCCCATTGGCCATCATCTTGTAGAGGTTGTAGACCCCAGTCGTGGTCTCCTCGGAGATGCCTGACAGAAGCTGTGGGTATTTGGCGTGGATGAGGTTAGTTAAGTCACCACCATCATCTAGAATCATGTTGAGGGGCCCATCTTTGAAGTGCAGTGTCTGCTCAATGCACCACAGGTACTCTTCGTCTGTCTTGCCCTTCCAGGAATACACTGGAATGCCGGCCTTGGCAATGGCAACCACTGCGTGGTCCTGAGTAGAGAAGATGTTGCAGCTGGACCACTGCACCTCCTCACCTAGGGCCATGAGAGTCAATGAGGACAGCCGTCTCCACAGTCACGTGCAAGCAGCCAGCAATGTGAGCACTCTTCAGTGGCGTGGATGCCGAGTACATCTCCCGCATACGCATCAAACCTGGCATCTCATTTTTAGCTATGTCCAAGGCCTTTCGTCCCCACGCAGCCAGTCCAATGGATGTAGAGGGGCAGGCTAATTTAATTCTTAATAGCTGAATAATATTACAGTGTGTAAATGTACCACATTTTTGTTATCTGTTCATCAGTTGATGGCAGCTAGGTTGATTCTGGGCTATTGTGTGTGTATAGAGCATCAGTGAACATGGATGAGCAAGTATCTGCAGTAGGGATGTGGAGTCCTTTGGGAATATGCCCACTGAGTCTTGTGGTAGATCTATTTCCAGGTTCCTAAGGAATCTCCACACTGAATTCCATAATGGTTGCACCAATTTTCACCCCACTAGTGGTGAGAAAGTGTCTCTTCCCCACATCCATTTCAGTATGTACTGCTCTTTAAAAAACAATCTTGACCATTCAGACTGGTATGAGGTAAAATCTCAAAAGGAGTTTCAGTTTGCCTTTTCCCGATGGTTAAAACTGTTGGGACGGTTTTAAAAAGTTTCTCATCCATTTGAATTTCATCTTTGAGAACTCTGTTTAAATCCATGCTCCATTTTAATTGAGTTATTTGTTTTCTGGATTTTTTTTTTTTGAGTCATTTTTATATTCTAGATACTGTCTGTCAAATATATAGCTGGGTTTTTTTTTTCCCATTTTCTGGTCTGTTTCTTCATTTCAATGATAATCTTTGTCTTTTTCTCGTGTAGAAAGTTTTAGTTTCATGTAGTCTCATGTTTATTTTAAATATTAAAGGAGTTAAAGCTGGTTGGTTCTTACTTATCTGTACAAGTTGCTTGAGGCTGGGACATTGTCTTAGTGGATAAAGCACTTGCCACACAAACACAAGGACTAGAATTTGAATTTCAAGAAGGACCTACAGTAACCATAGTGCTCCTACCTTGAGACGGGAGGCAGACCATTTGAATATCTGAAATTCATGGGCCATCTAACCTGACATATACAATGATCTTCTTTAAAAACAAGGTCGAAAGTGAGGACCAACACCCAAGATTGTTCTCTGATCTCTGCCTGCCTGCCTGTCTGTCTAATTCTTTGAGAATTTCCTATATGTACATAACACACTGTATTTTTATTATAGCCATTCCCAAATCCCCCCTTCTATTCTCACAAAGCCTTTCACATCTCCCTTTCAACTTCATGACTGCTACTTCCTCATTTGTTTTTAAATAACCTACTGATTCCAGTTAGTGCTGCTTTCATATAAATAGGTCTTCATATAAATAGATATAGAGCCATCCACTGAACATGGGATAGTGGCCACATGCCAAAAGAAAAGCGATTCTCCCTTACCAGCACCATTAGGAGTGAGGACTTCTTAGCCTCTCCTCTGCCCCCTAGAAAATTGACAGACTGGATCTTGTGCATGTAGCCACAGCTGCTGTGTGTGAGTCCAATCACCATGTCATACAGAAGACAGTATTTTACAGAACTCCTGTGACTTGTAGGTTCTTTCCTACTCTTGTGTGATGTTCCTTGAACCTTTGGCAGAGGTGGAACGAGTGGTAGGGTGTCTGTGTGATGTTCCATTTAGGGCCAAGTACCCGGTCATGTATTCTCAGCACATAGACCACTTAGGAGTCTCCTCATTAACTTCTGCCTAAGGTTAAGAGCATTAACCATCTATGAATACAATTGTAAGTGTTCAGAAGGCAATTGGGCAACATGTCTATTTAACAAGAACAATGGTAGTAGGTTACCTCCTAGGGCTGTGACTTCCTGAGCCAGGTGCTTTTGATCAGGTTCACAGAATGGAGCATGGATTTTCTCCTGAGGAGCAGACCTTAGCTAATGACAGAATGGTTGATTACCTCCATAACCTTCATGACAGCCAATGTCATGTGTACCACTGGTCTCAGGAGTGTTGCTGTTGTAGCTTGTAGGGATCAGTTTTTATCTCTCTTTCTCCTACAGTGGCCTGACAGCACCTTCTGGCACTATGACAACTAGCCTGTAGGGAGCACATTTTCAGGTCAGTTCCAGCCTGACTTCTCTCTGTCCTGCAGCCAAAGTGTATTATATTTTTGGTGATAGGGTTTTACCACCCAGTTTTGGTGAGCAACCAAGAATAGTGGCAATAGCCTTTGTTGATTCGGGGGCCTCAGAGCCTTTTGACCAATATCTCATAGAGAGATATCCAATGCCTAGCACTGAGATTTTTGTTTTATAACCTATGATTTCTAGGAGCAGCATTGTCTACCAACTCATACTATTTCTGTTCAGATTCATTTAGAAAACATATTTGTGTTGACCTTTGTTGTTTTTTTCTAGACAGAGTCCTTACAAAGTATCCTGTGCTGGCCTGGAACTCACATAGAGCCTCATACTTCTGCCTGTCACTTGATAGGATTCAAGCATGCACTACCACACTGGGCTCTGTGTGTGTACATTTAAATTAGTTAACAAAGTAGCAGGTTTCCATAAGACTTACGCATCCTTACTTTTGGCTGTCCATCCCTGATTAAGTCTTAAAGCCCCAGTATTCTCCCACCCCACAGCTTTCACTTGTTTGGGGTTTCCCCTCCCCCATTGAGGTATCTTCTCTCCCCTATACCACTCATGGGCTCTTCTGGCTTCCTGACCTCTACCAACACTCCAAGTCACTGTATGCTTTCTTTACTGAAATGATTTACTGAAATAATTCTTAAGTTGTAGGAGTTCCTATCACATGCTGGATATAAGTTCTTTTTGAGACATGTGATATACAGATATTATCTGTAGCTTGGCATGGGTAAAGCTAGAACTCATATGCAAATATAAGTGAACATATATTTTGGATTTTATTAGAGAATAAATTCCATGCCTTTGAACTTATTTGTTGTTACCTTTAGTTATCTTACCGTAGAGTATTTTTAGGAACTATAGCAGTTTCAAATGTTGGAAACCAACAGGTTGATTTGTCTGGCAAGATGTAAAAAACATTTTTTTTCTTCCATGTTTAGTTCTAAGTGCCTTAGAAAGGCAGAACTTGCCTTAGGGTTAGTTATATCCAGTTAATCCTCACTCAGAGTGAAAGTTTTTATTGTGTTGAGACTGTTAGAAAAATATCAACTGAGAAATAGTGTCTTGGAGAGTCCACAGCTCAGTTTTAAAGTTTCCCCAAGTTTGTGGTATTTCTTCTTTCTTTCATGTAGACTGACTGGGGAGGCATTCCTTGCATGGGTGGTTGCCTTCTGTTTTTGTTTTTTGCTCTGGCCTGGCTTAGTGGATTAGGTTTTACAATGGCATGTCATGGTGTATATGGCTTTGCTTTGTCCATTGTACTGTGCCATTTGTCTGCTCAGCTTAATAGCAGATTTCAGGACTTGGGATTACTGTTTGAAAAGCTAGTGTGCTTTTCAGTATGTGCTATGCAATGATAGGATGGCATACTCTGTATTGGTACTTAAAGTTGTTTTACTTTATTGCTGAACTGACAGAAACGTCATATATTTTGTTTCTGTGGAGTTCTGAGTGGTAAGTAGACTCTCTGTTTGCTCCTACAGCTTGGGTATTGGTTTTGAAGACTGACCTTTTTTTCACCCCAGAGTTTTGTAGAATTTGAAGTAAAACTTTCTGAAAATTCTTAGAAAATTTTGTTCATTTAACAGCAACTAAGTTCGCATAGTAGTAAATCTCAGCTTGTGGCTGCAAGCCTGTGTTTGTGTGTGAGTCTAGGAGTCCTTTCCAGCCATGTCTCCAGTTGTCAGCATATCTGTTTGCTCATGGCTTGGCCTGTTGACTGCTTGTCTGCTGCTTTGAAGAAACAGAAGGTGCCCTATGTAAATTGGTTTACAAATGCTACTTTTGTTTTTTCATTTCAATGATTTAATTAGTAAAATTTTATATATTCTGTCAAGCATCTTCTATTTAATGAAATTCTTCTAAGAATTTCTCTTTTCATTTTTTTCTTTGTTAATGTACAGCATACAAAAAAAAAAAAAAAAAACCCACCACCACCACCAACAACAAAAACTCTTGCCTATTTTTGGTCATCTCCTTAATGTACTTATGTTTCTGTATATGGAAAAGTATAAGCATGACTTCAGAGTCGGGTCTGGGTTCAAATTCTAGCTGCCTCTGTGTGTACTAACAGTGTGATGTTAAATGAGCTTTTCCCTATATATTTTTTAAGATTTTATTTTTATTTTGTGCATATGGGTGTTTGGCCTGCATGTATGTCTGTGTACCATGTGCATACAGTGGCCATAGAAGCCAGAAGAGGGTGTTGGAGGCCAAGAAACTAGAATTAAAGACAGCTATTAGCCACCATATGGGTGCTGGCTGTTGAACCCAGATTCTCTGGAACAGCAGCCATATAGCAGCTTACAACCAACTGTAACTCCTAGGGGTACAGCACCTCTTAAAGCATGGTGACCTTTAATCGCAGCTGAACCGCTCTTGAACTTCCAGGACAGCTAAGGCTGATAGTGAGATCCTGTCTTAAAACTGAACAAGACAAAAGCCTGTTATTGGATATGAGAAATGGATTTCAGGTGCCAGGAAAGAAGCGTGTGTAACAAATAGAGGAGATGAATAGGAGTATTAGATCTAGTTGCTTTCTCTGAATATTCCTTTACAGAAATGAATTTGAAATTACCTAGGGCTTTCCAGAGAAACTTGGTGTGTAAGCTAAGGAAGAAGGAGGGCTGAGGAGAACAGTGAGATTGAGCTGTCAGTCTCCAGCCTTAAGCTTTGGTTAAGTTCCTGGTGGACTGGGTACTGAAGTAGTTTTGTTCTATAATGTTATTTGTAGTTGGGGTACATTAGTGTTTGAGGAATTGAGGGAAACTGTGTATAAAATATTCTATATATGTTAGATATTTTAAGTTTTACATGCATGGCGATATGACCTATTTCTGTGTTTATGACAAAGTACAGTTTATTTTACATTTCTAAATATTTCATGATATTTATCTCTACACTTCTAGAAATGCTAATTTTTTAAAAAGAACCAGGTCCCCCCTTAAAACTGTGTGTATGTGTGTGTTTCTATATGTGGGTATACACATGTGTGTGGGTGGCTGAGGAA